TATATATATACACTCTCGACAGCTGTTTTTGCTGAAGCTTAATCTAAGAATGTTTTCCTAGATTAAGAAGAAAAAGTAGGAAGCAAATTCACCTCCAAATAAGCATTTCTAAAGCTAATCATCAATTAGTTGTTAGAACTGTCATCCTGATTAATAGTATACATTCCATTTATGTATCAGGATGCAAGAGTGCATGTGTGTACAATTAAAGAGAGAGAAAAGTGGTATTGCTTGTGTAGGTGTAAAAGCCAGAACCATGGTCCTTGCAAAGAACTCCACTGGGAACAACTTCAGCCAAGACTGGTTATACTTGAGAGCAAATATGTGTCTGTGGAACATGATCAAATTAAGACTGGGGACCTTTTACATATGCTGCATGAATTATATTAACATAGGATTAATGAGGAAGAAGATGTAGGAGAAGGTACGAGAGATGAATTTTGTTTTTTCATAATCAGTACATCTAATTCTTTGAATTAAATTTAACTTATTTTAAAGTACATGTTATATAACTATACCAGGTAATTCAGATTTAATTTTAAGGTCTGAATTCAGGTTATAATGTGATTATAGTGCGACCCAAAGCCAGGATGACCTATTACCAAAAGTCTTGAATATTGAAGGTGTAATACCATCCTTCCTTGTTCTTCAGTAACCTACATTCTCAAGATGAATAACGATCAAGTGGCACTGGTGGGCCAAGTGTTCGAGTCGTATGTTTCAGAATATCATAAGAGTGACATCATTCAAATCTTGAAGGAGGATGACCAGGATGCCCATTACCCAGTGGTGGTTAACGCCATGACCCTTTTTGAGACCAATATGGAAGTTGGGGAGTATTTCACTGTGTTTCCTGATGAAGTACTGACGGTATTTGATAGTGCCCTGCGGAGGTCAGCCCTGACAGTTTTCCAGTCCCTTTCTCAGCTTGAGGGTGTTTCCATGAAGCACAATCTTCATGCCAGGATATCAGGTAAGTCACATAAGGACACTGTCGTGGAATTACTTCATGGAATTACTACCGTGGAGTTTCCTGTGAAGAGTGGAAGTAAATATAGCACAAAAGGATTCAGAGTGCTCAGAAATAATTGTTTATGCTAAAAATGTATGTCTCCTGGAGCTGACGATCCTTCTAGCTCGGAGTAGTGATGATCTTCTCTGGGCATCGAAGGTGTGGAGATGCACTACACCTGTGCATCTGTGTGTGTAAGATTGTATATAACCTGTGCAGCTCTTTGAGCTTTTGTGACTACTGACTATAAAAGAAGCAGTGATACAAGAATCAGAAAAGTGACCTTCAAAGCTATTTTGGAAAATTAATTAATTTTATATGTTGAGACTGTTTTTATTTTCATTGATTTTATGCTGAATTGGCCCTAGTGCCATGAACTTTTGTTTCTTCTGGGATGGGTTTTCTCCGTTGCAGCCTCCTTTTTTGGTTAGGAGCAGTTCATTGGCTTCAATATGATCCTTTCTGTTGGCAGGGGAGCTCAGGTACAGATTAATCTGAAGTGCAGTCACCTCTGGGGTGCACTCTTCTTGGGCTTGTTCAGTGACTAGAGCACCTTTCTGGAACCTGCTTTCTGTTTCAGATAGTTCCCATTTTATAAAAGGAAAAGGCCTTCTTTCGACTCGGTTGCCCCTTTCCTCCACCCACTCTTCTCTCCATAACCCAGTACATTCCCTCTTCAGCACAAGAATCACCCCTTCACCTTTTCAGCACTGTCACGAAACAACTCTCAGCAGTGTTAGCATTATGGCTTCATGGCCAGGCAGAGGGTGCTTTTCAGCCTTTTTCTCTTCCGTCATTTCTCTGCCAACTTTGGTAGGCTGACTCTTCTGCCTTTGTATTCTCCATCCTCAATCAACTGCCCACACGCTTCCCTGCCTCACCTTTTGGCTCTGGGTTTTCCACCTCCACTGTGGGCTCCTTTTCTTTTAACTATGTGGTTGCCTTTAGTCCTTGACGTTCAGACTTGGCTGTCTCTTAGGTCCTGCATCTCTTTCTGTTGTGTAGCATCAAGTAGCGTTTTTCTTTTTTGGGCCAGAACTTGTCTCTTAGTCTTAGTCTCTTAACTTGGATATACTGTTGTTGGTCAGATGTCTATGACAGTTATGTAAGATTTCATTGATTACATATGACTCATTGAAAATCCCAGGACTGCACTCAGTTATCCCAGGGAGTCCAGTTTTATTGGACATTGTGCAGAATGATGTGTAACACTTCCCAATACTTAAAGTTTCATGACCTTGATTTTTATTAAATGTTACTACATTGACATTGAATTAAGCTTAGTGATCAAGTTGCATATGAAGCAGAACTGGGATCTAAAAATGGGGAATAGAAGTAGGGTGCAAAAATGATATTTCTTCGGGCCAGTGAGTATTTTTAAATCCAAAAAAATGGTTATTTAGTATATGTGCTGCCGAAGTGAGCACAAAAAAATTGTTATTTAAATAAACTGGCTTGACCCATATTTTTTTTCTTTTCCTGTTTGCCTTCCTAATCTTTTTTAGAAGTAATTATTGGTAGGTTTCTGTTTGTACTTGAAAGAGCAAATTGGGTTAATAATCCTGTTTCTCATGTGAGTAGCCTTCTGTATATGTACATTAGAAAACAATGAAGAACTGTTTACAAACAAAAATAATTTTTAAAAGTTATTTTAGTAACTGTGTGATCCATTAATTAAGATCTTAGGTTTATGCTCAAGGTAATTGTAAACAAATACTCAAACAAAAACTTGGACAAGAATATTTGTTGTACCATTATTATTATTTATTTATTTATTTATTTTGGTACTGGGGATCAAACTTATGTCCTTGTGCTTGCCAGGGAGGCACAGTGCCACTGAGCTAAATTCCCGGCCCTGTAGTAGTATTGTTTATAATGGTCTCCAAATGAACCCCAAATTGTTTCTCACCTGATGAACAGATAAACAAAATATTGTGTAGATATACCATGGAATATTATTTAGCTGGATGCAGGAATGAAGTTCTGATATATATATGTTGCTAAGCGAAAAAGAGCAGACATGAAAGACTGTGTATTTTATGATTCAATTTTTATGAAATGACCAGATTAGTTAAGTCCATGGAGCCAGAAATTAGATTAGTCATTGCCAGAAGCTAGGTACAGATTTTATTTTTGATGTTTTAATTAAGTGTTCCCAAGGAATTTGGAAATAAGAGAAATAAGTTTGTGTCCTGAATGTTAAATGTAACGCCTGCACAGAATACACAAGAGATGCACAGTATTCTATGCAAAAGTGTAGATCCCTTGGTGGCAAAATGTGGGACAGTTTGAATTAATGTAAATAAAGAACATAGCTCTTTGATAAGAGAGCTTCCACGTCAGCCTTGGAAGCACAGAAAAAGGAGCCAGAGAGACAAGTGTGGACAGTGCCTGCCTTGTTTATCACTGCCGAACACAGTGTGTAGAGAGTTGTCTCACACACAGAACATTAACATCTGTGGCCCATGACTGTCACGCCAATTTCCTGTCCACTTAGTTTGCTTTCTTTCCCCTCCAGGCCTTCGGACCACCTTCTGATTGCTCTTACTAGTGCTGTTAATGTGATCACTAGGCTCTCAGAGTGGAGGTATCAGCAGGGAGGAAAAATGCTGTACGTAGACACCTGAAGGGTTAGGGTGGCTCCCGTGGTGGCTTCTCCTGAGCACAGTGCTCTGACAGGTGGGGCTCCAGTGTGCACCTAGTGAGTGAGCCCTGGGAAACTGCAGAGACAGCCACAGCCATCACAGCTGGCATCTGCCCCACATGCATCAGTCAGATGAGGAACAGGGAATTCCCACAGAACACTTTCTTTGGCATTTTGTGTTTTCTCAGTTGCCTGTTTTCTTAATGTTGAAAGTCGTAAGGTTTCAAGGCTAGAGCAATGTTGAATGAATTTCCAGGTAGTGACGTGTGAACCTAACTGAAGAAACATGTAACTTGGTATCATGAAGTCTTTGGTCATTAGGCTGCCATCTCTCTATAACTCTGCTTTCTCATTTGCTCAGAGAACATCAGTCAATTTTCTATGTAGTAGTAGGCAGTATTTTCTCTGTTAGTTAGGGCTGCACTTAAATACCACATTTAGGTCCTGCTGCAGTATCTCTCTTATGAGAGTCAGTTCTCTTTTTAAATCCTAGTTATACTATGTTCTTTAGCAAGAGTCTGTTGATAACTCTTATTTGAAATCTTCTATTTCTTGAGTTCATAATCCGATTTTTTTTTCTTAAGGCAGAAAGATTTGTTTCCCTGGAATTGTAATTTCTTCCCAGAAATATCAGAAGAACACATTTCATAGAGTCAGATCTCAAGGTATAAGTGGGCACTGCTGTTTTTCCATCAGGTTTGCCGGTCTGTCCTGAGCTGGTGAGGGAGCACATCCCTAAAACCAAGGATGTGGGACACTTTTTATCTGTCACCGGAACAGTGATTCGAACCAGTCTGGTGAAGGTCCTGGAGTTTGAGCGGGATTACATGTGCAACAAGTGCAAACACATGTTCATGCTCAAGGCTGATTTTGAGCAGTACTACACCTTCTGCTGGCCATCTTCCTGCCCCAGCTTGGAAAGCTGTGATTCCTCGAAATTCACTTGCCTCTCAGACTTGTCTTCAAATCCAGCTAGATGTAGAGATTACCAGGAAATAAAAATTCAAGAACAGGTAAGTACTGAAATAAATGAGAAAAGAAACAAATTTGAAGTGGTTTTCTTCCATGATCAAATTGCCAGGATTGGGGAAGACCAGATGAATACAGGTGGAGTTGAGCATCACTTTGTAGATCAGTCTTGGAACTGCTGCCCACGTATCAGAATATAGCTAAATAAGCAGGAAGTAAGCAGTGAAAGGCCAAGACATCATCCCCTCAGAGTCTTAGATTCAGACCTGTCTTAATCCGTAGCTTCTGTAAGCGTCCTGGGTAGTGGGTACAACTCTGTCACATCTATATTCTAGTCAGAGAACAGGAAAAAGGAAGATGGGCAGTGTACCCTCCATCTCACTAAGTCTCCATGGAAACAGTGTCCATGGCAGCCCTCTGGACATGCCTACTTAGGTCTCATGGGCCAGAACTTAGTTATGTGGCCACACCTGCGTATAAGTGACCATTTAGAGAGCACATAGCCCCTCAGCATGTCTTTAAGCACACTCAGTGTGTATTCTTTTCCTTGCTAGGTTCAAAAGCTGTCTGTTGGAAGTATTCCACGATCTATGAAGGTTATCCTAGAAGATGACTTAGTAGACAGCTGCAAATCTGGTAAGAATGAACTATTTGTTTTCTGAGACTGGGTCTTTCCAAGTTGTGCAGACTGGTCTCGACTTGTGGGTACAAGTAGTCCTCCTGCCTCAGCCTCTTGAGTAGCTGGGGCCACAGGTATGAATACCACCATGCCCGGCAGGAATGAACTTGTGTTAGCTTGTGTAAAGGTCTGTGTAGGATTAGGAAAAGCCACCTTCAATTTTCTCAGCAATGTCTGGCCAGGGAGTGCAGAACGTAGTTGCTCCCCTTGTGAATGGAGCTTGGTGTAGAGGTAGCAGGTGATGAGAGGGAAGAGCAAGCTGCAGCTGGAGACCCAGTCGGGCTGCGTGTTCATAGATAGAGCTGACGGCCCAGGGCTGGCTGAGTTAAGCGGCAGAGCTGGAATGGAGTCCGCACCGCAGCTCTGGCTCCCAGGCGTTCTCACTGCGCCGCAGCATAGCAGAAGCAACTGCGAAGCAGTGTAGTGAGTGCCGTGCACAGACGCGTGCTGGATTGCAGGGCACGATGTCGGGTGCGCCGCAGAGTGGCGCTGTGCCTTCAGGAAGGGAGGCGATGGTTCCTCCGCCTGTGTTGCCACTCCAGGACAGATGTGTGTGATGTGCTCTCCTGTTTGTGACAGCAAATGTTTCCGTGCACTTCCTCTGAACTGTGCTGTTGTGCACTAGCAAGAAGTCTAAGCTATCTTTCAAACGGCATTAATAATAAGGGTGGAGGAAGCAGTCAGTCAACAGCAGTTTTTCATTTACCCATAGCTATAAACCTGTGGGAGTCAAGAAATGTGAGTAGTGTAATCTTTGCCCTTCAGGAAGTTGCGGCCTGGGTAGGAACCCCAGTTTGAAGTATGCAGAGTCCTGAAGTTGGAGAGAGACACATCTGATTGGGGTGGCTGCAGTCAGAAAGGTGTCATGAAAGTCAGGCGTGCGAGGTTACTGGGTTGTTCAGAAGTAAAAGTTTTGGCACCCTTGACAATGATGGTTTAACACGTTTAAAATGGATAGCTCTTGACTTGGCCGGTCATTGACGATCACGTTAGCCTGCCATTCCACAAGCATTGAGTAAGTGCAAACATTCACACACATTCAAGGGTACAAATGCAAAGTGGGTTTAGTATTGTAATAGCTGTAGCTTCTTGAGGACTGCCTTGGTTCTTGATACTGACATGTAGATTCTCACCGTGGTCCTGTGATGTAAGTCTGCTCTCATTTTGTGGGTCAGGAAACAGGCTCAGGAAAGTTAGATGACTTGTCCAGCATCACACAGCCAGTGTAGTGGAGGTGAGGTTTAAGTCGAATCTGATGAGAGTCATATTTCTTGGCCCCCTTCTGTAGTCCACATTATCCACACAAGCACTTGCCTATTGAATTCAGATTGTTACTAATGGGTACTATTGTTAGAGTTAAGTTCCCCAGTTGGCTCATGTAGAAACAACCTGAATATAATCCATTCAAATGACCACAGCAGAGGACTGTTCTGAAGAAATGTTTACAGGGCCGGGATGTAGCTCAGCAGTGCCACACTTGGCTGGCAAGCACAAGGTCCTGAGTTCAATTCCTGATACCAAAACACAAAAACAAACAAACAAAAACTAGTAAAAGTCACTCTGGTCACCTTCATCTACAAGATTTGGGGCAGACAGTATAGTAAATGATCATTATTCCCCATCAGCTTTGAAAATCCTCCAAGCAGCAGCAGCTTGGGAAAGATCCTAGAGACATGGAAACACCTTGTTAGTGTATGTGTCACCATCAGTGTGAGCATCCTTTACGTAGAACCATGCGCTTAGCATCATAGATGCTGTGCTTCAGGAAACCCACAGCTCTGCATGTGCACACTGCACTGTTCAGTTAGAGGGAATGGCGTGTGCACCAGCAAGCAGCACACAGTGAGCACAAAGGTGTGAGCATGAAGGAATTGACCGTAATTGGGTTTGGGGCATGTCAGAGTGTGACTGAAAATTGAGGTGGTTGGGTTTGTTGTTTGGGCTCCCTTTTCCCCAGTGCCAACATAATGAATGCGGAGCATTCACAGATTCTTGTTACCTGGTGCCTTGCACAGGGTGTGATAATAAGCATAGAAGTCATTGTTCAGTGAACGCCTATAAACCACCCAGAGCCATTTAGGAAATGTGTGAAAGTCTCATATCCTGCCAGCCAGGAACAGGAGATTTTCCTCATGTAAGAAGGAACCACTGACAAAGAGCATGCTGAATCGCCATTTTGTACTTTCGTGGTTTGAAGTAGAACAGGTATTCATTGATTTCTTAGCTCATTCCTTCCTTGGCTAATTTAAAAACAGAAGCCACAAGTAAAATGTTAACAGACGTGAAAAATGAAAATGAACATGTAAGAAACTACATGGGGTACCTGCGCACCACAGGGTGACTCTGGTTTCACCTTCTGGTTGCAGTTCCCACTTTCTAGATGAACACTAAATCACTGCAGCCTTAGAGAGAGTGAACAGGTCACCAATGAGTAAGTCACACGGGAAGCCATTTTCCCAGGGGAGGACAATGCTGTACCTGCGTGTAAGAATCATGTGGCATATTATTAAAAGTGAAAACACTCACCTGACCTTCTGACTGTGCAGATGGAGTGCCTCTAGAGCAGTGGCAAGAGTCAGGCTGCTCTTTCACCCCTAGATTGTTTCTGGGTGAGCGTAGGGAGTGGTTTGTTGCTAATTTCTGCCCAGCACATGTAACACCACCGTGGACTCAGGTGTGCTCTCTCCCAGGAGATGACCTCACTATCTGTGGGGTTGTGACTCAGCGCTGGAAGCCCTTTCATCAAGATGTGCGTTGTGAAGTGGAGATAGTCCTGAAAGCCAACTACGTGCAGATAAATAATGAGCAGTCCTCCGGGGTCATTGTGGATGAGGAAGTCCGAAAGGAGTTTGAAGAGTTTTGGAAATGCTACAAGGGAGACCCCTTTGCAGGTGTGTGGTTAGGGCATGAGCTCAGGTTTGTTACTAGCGGGACGTTTGGACTCTAGTGATGTCTGAGGCTTGGGGACTGCCAGCCTCATGTGTGCTAGGAGTCAGGCTCTGTCCCCACAGTAGCACTACTGAGCACCTAGGGCTCTGGTCTCTGTCCAAAGCCCTTTTCTGGCATTGTTTTCTCTCCTTGGAGATCTTTCATTTTTAACAATTAAACGCTTGTTATGCTGCCAAAACCGTTTCTCAGTGTACTCTCTTTTACCAATTAAAATGCAATTCCTCAAGAAGAGAGAGCTCCTCCTATTAGTATAAAACCTTATGGTATTGCATTCAAACCATTATCTTTTAGTGTATTTTCAACAATAAAGACAACTTTCTGCTGTGCTCGCTGAAGATTTTAAAAGAGGGAGTCAGTAGAAAGAGGGATGAGAAAGCGAAGGTGCTGAGAACAAATTCCGCCATCACAGCACAGTGCTAAGAGGTCAGCGTCCAGAGAAAAGACGACAGCATCGGGGTTTGCAGAGTGTAGTTTATTGGAAATCTGCAAGTATATAAAACACCAAGGCAATCTTCTTGTTTTCATTCTTGCTTGTAGACATCTGAGAAAAAAATATATTGAAGCCAGTATTAAGACTATTTTGAATGAACTTTTCCTCAGATCTGTGTTGACTATTCTTAAATCACATGCTGAACTAGGTAGATATTATTTCATAAAATAAAGGTTCCATTTGCTTATGTATGGACAGTTTGCTTTTATTTTATGGAATTTTAAAAACTGATGTATGAAGACATATGTAGTAGTTCCTGACCTTTTTTATGTGACCTAGGTAGAAAAGAGCCCACAGACCTCAATACTTTGACCTCGTTAAGTAAGCACTTTATTAGATAAAAAGAAGTAAATATAATAACTATGAGAAATAGAAGTAGGAAGACAGGTGAGGCAGTATTTTTCTTTTGGGTATGAATGAACTTCCTTAGTTTCCTATATACCAGGTACCAGGGCACTGTACCGGACTACTTCAAAGTATGTGTGAGAGAGAGATTGAGAGAGAGAGAGAGAGAGAGAGAGAGAGTGTGTGTGTGAGTGTGTGTGTGTGTGTGTGTGTGTGTATGTGTGTGTGTGTGTGAAGGAAGGAGAGTTGAATGCTGTCTAAAGCTAGAGATTGCTTTATCACTCCTCTTTGAGGTTGACTTGCCTCTGGGTCCTGTGGGTATTGACTGGGATGTGGCCCAAGGGTTTGATTCCAGTCTGCATTGCCCTCAGGGACCCTTCTGTCCTGGCGCCTGGATGCTGCTGGAGAGAATGACAAAGTGGGGTTGCTGTCTGCTGGGCCTTCTGAATCCACCCTTGGGTGATTCAGTTATCTTAGATCAAAGCGATTTCTTCACTAAGACACCTGAGGCTGTCCCATTAGCATGGGTAATCTTGACCATCGCTACACTACAGAGATGTTCTGTAGCCAGGAATTTGGGCAGGATGGAGAGACAGGGATAGTTTTTCCCTTAATGCATTCTCTTCCATGATACAGCTATGGAAGCTTCTGCTGCCTTGATGCCGGGAATCAGCCTAGACAGCGCATTGAGGATAGGGCCCTCCCTTCCCTGTTCCTTTCTCTGTTACTCTAGCCTTGCCTTCATAGTAGAACTTTGTGCTGACTACACTTGAGGAAACCTGGAGATCAGAGATAAGCACCGATAATTCAGGAAATAAAAATTAATAGTTAAGAAGCTCCCAGTGCATGCCAGGTACTGCTTTTTCTATGTGCCGCACACTTACTAACTCCTTTAATATTAAAAAATCCTGTATGGCGCAATCATCTCCATGTAAAGATAAAGAAATGGAGGCTTGTGAAGCTCACCCAAGGTTAGCCCTAGTAGAAAAGGACTGAGATTTATTCCAGACGTGAGCCCAGAGCCTGTGCCCTTTACCACTGTGTTCCGTAACAGTTTTGGCTTGGGTGTCTTCAGGTTAGTTTATTTATCCTTTTTTGTTTGTTTGGAGTTTTGTTTTTGTTTTTGTTTTGTTTTGTTTCATTTTAAGACAAAGTCTGGCTTTGTAGCCCAGGCTGGCCTTGAACTCCTATTATTCCTCCTACCGGGACCTCTGGACTGCTGGGATTACAGGCTGTTTGCTTACTCTTACGCTAGCTTTGCGGGCCTGTCCTTTCCTTGTGCAATCCCTGGATTCTGGTCAGAACTGACATGCTTGCTGTGAGGGCTTATCTCCTGGATTCTTGACCTTTTCTCTCTAGGCTGTCTCCAGAAAGGGATGGATTTCTTTTGGCTTTATTTCTGGACTTCTGGACTTCTAAGTCTTCTCTCTGGCCCCTTCCTATAAAGGATATTCTCTCTCTCCGCCATTTCTGTGCCTTTGTTGGCTCATGCAGGTCCAGGAGTGAAGCGCAGTTGTAAAATGAGTGCTTAGTTTGCTCAAGGCCCTGGCTCCAATCTGCAGTGTCCAAACCCCCAAACTCAAGTTTGATTTTATAGAGGGCAGCCTTTGTATTTGGGGCTGTCAGTTGTGGACAGGCTCAAGGGAAGGCCTGTTAGAACCATGTAGATGAGTTAGGCCAGTGGCTGATGGAATGCTTTATCTGTGAACAGCAGAGGCAGATTCTCACACTGAATGCTTTGTTGTTTCTGAGAACAGAACTTAAAATAGCGATAGTTTTTTAATTTAAAGTACACTAAAGAATTCAAGAGCTCTAGCTCTTGCTAGCATTGTAGTTTGTAATGATCCTTTTTGAGACCTGATACTCCAGTCGCTTACTTCAAAAGGAACAGAATTTACCAAAGAGCCCAGAGTAAATGCTGGCCTGACTTGTAGGATGGGTTGATTTTCCTTTTCTCCTTTCTTTTCCACTTTTGGAGGAGCTTAGAGAGTTCCAGCTACCTCTTTAAAGGTTCAGGCTGTTACCGTCTGACTTGCTTTTGAGATGCTCCTTTGCCTCAGCAAGGGGAGCAGTTTCCCCAAAAGGACCATGGAGAGTACAGCTGGTATTATTTTAAGGAATAACACTGGCCTGGTGAGTGGTAGATGAGGCAGCAAAGATTGTTTCTTCACGTCCTTTCTGAAATACAATGGAGTCCTGGAAATGTAAGCAGATATCACCCAGAAATGAAAAGCAGACTTTCCGACTTTTAAAACTCAAACTAGTTGTTCACTCTTTAGTAATTTGGGTTGGCCTTTCTGATCACTTTAGATTTATAGAAAGAGTATATTTATAGGAGGGTGGTCAGTTGGGATAGGAAGGTTTCAGTGAGAGCTTCTTGGAAGCAGTTGATGAGTGCTGACCTTTCTGCTCTCCCAGGAAGGAATGAGATCCTGGCCAGCTTATGTCCACAGGTGTTCGGGATGTATCTGGTGAAGCTTGCTGTGGCCATGGTCCTGGCTGGTGGGATTCAGAGGACTGATGCTACAGGAATGCGGGTCAGAGGTCAGTACCTGCTTAAACTTCCTGAGAAATATGAAGGAGAGAAGCTGGACTTTTGTTCGTGAATAAAACTACTTGTTGAGCTTTACTATCTAGAGGTAGCCTCTTATAGTTGGCAGTTGTCTGAGTATTTCATACTTGGTGCATCTCCTACGTTTATTAGAAGTAACTTTCTCAAATTCCAGAAAGACGGAAGAAAGAAACCCTTTTATCAGGGGGTATATACTTGTGCTGTAGCCTGTAAAGGGGCCTGAAGGAATATCCTCACACTCCTGTCACTGTGTCTCCAGAGCCCTGGTCTCTCCCCAAGAGGACAGCGTTAGAGTCAGTGCATCTTAACTCTGCAGTCATTTCCTCTGACCTTGGGGTCTCGGGCTGCTTCTCTCAGCCATGTGCCCATGAGCCCTCTCTGCCAGCAGACAGCTGACCTGCCACCTGCCTGCGGAGATAACTGATCATGTGTGGATGGCAGGAAGCTCTTCTGCAGCTCACACAACTGATAGAGCTGAGCATCCCTCCTATGGGCCATAATAGCCTGAGAGTGAACCTAAGGAGTAAAACATTACCTAACAGGGCCTCCACAGCCAGATGGCCCAGCACAGAATACTGTGGGGAAAGGTTATGCATGCTGTGTCTGTCTCAGTCACCTGTTATTTGCAAGGTTGTCCACTGGATGCTGAACTTAAATAGGAGTTTCCTGTGGAAATTCTTGAGTGTCACTACTTGGCTGGTGAGCTAGGATATCCTGTGGGACAGTCATGTTTATTTATGGTATATTTGAAGCTAAGAGCACATAATTATTTTAAGATAGCTGTTTTACTATAAAACTACTAAAAGGCCGGGAATTTAGCTCAGTGGCTCTGCCACCTGCCTCACAAGTGCAAGGTCCCAGGTTTGATCCCCAGTACCCCCCAAAAAAAACTACTAAAATTTTCATAAAATGAGAATGTTTTCACTTAGCTAGTAGCATCTTAAGCACCTCAGTAGTTATAAAGCACTTAGAGAGTCCTCCACACTGAGAGTACTTAAATAAAAGAATATAATCCTTGTATGACTTGTGTGGAAAGCCTTTATCACAGTAGTTTGGTATTTAAAAAGATAAAATCAGAAGCTTTATAAACATTTTTTAGTGCTCCACCCAGCTTGAACCACCAGTGGTACACACATGACTGTCCCATTAGACAGCTTGTACCAGTGGTGCTAAAAACAGATCTAATCACTTTTAGCAAACTTTTTACTGATAAAGTTAATAAAAAAAGTCTGTGAATGGCCTGAATCTAGTTAGTTGATTAAAGTAGAATAATTACTGTCCAAATATAAATATTAATCCTATTCATACCAATTAAAATTATTACAGTGATCAACAAGTTGATTTACTCCATTAAAATTATATTTGTGAACTTTCAAATAATTTATACATAAAGGCGGCTGATTTGTGCAGGGTGTGCAGAATGTTGTAACACATCTGACTTTATTTTCAGCCACAGAGATATCCATTTTTTCAGGTAATTTTTGGTAACATCCTTTTCTTTTGGTTCTGGGGATCGAACTCAGGAACTTGTGCTTGTGAGGTAGGCGGTAGCACCACTGAGCTAAATCCCCGGCCCGATAACATTCTTTACATTGCTTATACACATTTCTTGCAGCTCCTAAATAAGCTTTTATAAAGTGAATATTTTTCTCAAGTAACTGGTGCATGTGGTATTTCCTCAGAGCTTAATAGTTTATCAGTAATTAATTCTCAAAATTTTAACATGGAAATCTTACAAGGACCCCATTGCTAATGAATAAAACATGCATTTACAACTGCTGTACCACACATGAGCTGTATTATATTTCTTACACCAGTTTAATGTTTTCTGGAAGGAAATGTAATATGATGTGCTCAGGTCTGCTAAATCATTGTCTTTCTTTGCATTGTTATAATCCAAGACCTCCTAAGAAACGGTGTAAGCCGCCCAGTGGGGCAGTCAGTTCAAATCAGAGCTGCCTGGCAGTGAGACATAGGAGTTACAGCTCTATCGTGAATGTGTTAAAAGTCAAACATGGACCCAATCATCTGGAAAGAACACACCATCTATGAATAGAATTTAAATTTTAAATATCACATTCAGCAGTTAGATTATTGTATTCATGACAGGTAACTTTTTCTAAAGATTTTTTAGTTAAATCCTTTCTTGAGTGACTATATAAATTTATACATCAAAATTACCACATAAGGCTAGGTGTTGTGGGTCACCCTTGGAATCCCAGGACTCAGAGGCTGAGGCAGGATTTTGAGTTTGAGGCCAGCCTGGACAGCATAGTGAGACTTCCCCCCAAATTATATAAAATGCAGAAAGGGAGATCAAAATATATCATAAATGTTTTATTATTTATTTATTTATTTGTTTTTTGAGACAGGGTCTCACTATGTAGTTGAGACTGACCTGGAACTCACTATGTAGCCCAGGCTGGTCTCAAACTCACAGCAATCCTCCTGCCTCAGCCTTCTGAGTGCTGGGATTACAGGCGTGTGCCACCATGCCCAGTTTACCATGAATGTTTTATTTATTTGTTTTATTTTTTGGTACTGGGGATCGAACTCAGGTCTTCGTGCTTATGAGGCAGGCAGCAGAACCACTGAGCTAAATCCCCGGCCCACCATGAATGTTTTAAAGAATTTTATTATAGTAAAAAAATTGCTACTAACTAACTCTCCCTCCCTCACTTTGAAGATATTTATACCATCATTCTTGCTACTTTTTGAAGCAGTTCTGAAAGTCCTCTTTCATGAGTCTGAGGGGTGATAAAAAATTTGGTGAATAGTGCTGCCAAGTGCCATCCAATAGAATTCATGCTGATTAGAAACCTATGCTGTTAGCCCGGCATGGTGGCGCATGCCTGTAATCCCAGCATTGGGGAGGCTGAGGCAGGAGGATCGCTGTGAGTTTGAGACCACACTGGGCTACATAGTGAGGTCCAGGTCAGTCTCAACTACATAGTGAGACCCTGTCTCAAAAAAACGAAAGAAAAAAAAATCCAAAAAACCTATGCTGTTTCCTCATCATCTTACTTATCGGCTCTGGCACCGTGTGACTTTTGGCTCTTCCCTAACGTTAAAATGATCATTAAACAGTAAACATTTTGAATTGATTCAGGACTCTGCGGCAGCCACAACAGTGCGACTAAAGACACGAAATAGGACTCCAGCGCTGCTTCAGAGAGTGGGAGAACAATGGGATGCGTGCGTTTGAAGTGAGGGGTGATTTTGAGGGAGGTTAATGGCTGTGTCCTTTATTGTAATAAATTTTAAAAAATTAACATTCACCATATTTTAAAACTGGGCGTTCCAAGTGGATTTTTTGATTGGTTATATTTATTTGTGGCTCCTTTTGTAGAAATGTAAAACTTGGTATTTCCTTTTTTCTAGGTGAATCTCATCTTCTGTTGGTTGGGGATCCTGGCACCGGGAAATCCCAGTTCCTCAAATATGCAGCCAGAATTACACCAAGATCTGTGCTGACAACAGGAATCGGATCTACCAGTGCAGGTATTTTATGTAACAGCTTCAAGTAATTTATTTTTACTATGAAAGCTAACACTTTTTTTTTCCATGATGAAAGAATGAATACCTATAGGATAAATTTCAAACTAATTTTTTAAGAGTTACTGCCAATTGAAGGAAATATGTAATATTGCTTTTGTTGCTCTAAGAAAGTATTTTATTTATTTATTCGTTTATTTATTTATTGTACGGGGAACTGAACTCGGGTCCTTGTGCTTGCAAGGCAGGCCACCGAACTGCTGAGCTAAATCCCCAGCCCTAAGAAAGTATTTTAAAAGCTCTCCCTTCACTTATTTGTGTTTTAGTTTAAACAATGCTGTAATTTTTCTGTGATTACTTTCATACATATTTATCCAAGAAAATGTACACATCATCTGGCATTTTATGAAAACTCAGCAAACAGAACATTCCAGTAAAAAGAGAGAGGACATTTTACTTTACAAGATTAGATAGCCAAGAGCTTAATGAGCCTCTCATACTCCTGAATCTCGGGCAGTAGCAGCTTGTAGGTAGAGATTTGTCCATTGGTGTTTGTTTATTTGTTTGGTACCCGGGATCAAACTTGGGACCTTGTTTGCAAGGCAGGCGGTGGCACCACTGAGCTAAATCCCAGGCCCTGTCGATTGGCATTTGGACAGCACACTTCCCTGTGAGCAGGGAGCATTCTTTGTACACTAGACTTTTCAGCATGGAAGGGTAAAAAGCCTTTGTAGATAGTCATAATTTTAAAGTGACTTAGGGGACTTGAGGGAATTTCATTTTTAAAATGTGTTTTGATGCTGCTTTATATTTTGATTGGAGTAATATTTTCTGCTAAAAAGTGATGTTGGGGTTCATACACTTTAAGTATATAATTTTCTTATTAAGGGAACCTAACTTCCATGGCCTACCCTCAAGCTTCTAACGAGCTTATCCTTTAAAACTTGTCATACAACAGAACATGCTGCACTGCTACTGGTCCTCTGTAAGAGCTCTCAGGCTTCAGGATATAAATGTGACTGGCTAGTCCGTAATAAACACTGACAAGGGATTTGTGAGTTGAGAGATGTGGACCAAGTTCAAATACTGGAAGGAAAGTAGGCAAGAATACATAAACAGTACTTCTGTGCACTTTCAAATCCTTATGATCCAAGGTGCTAAAGTTCTGTGAAAGGTGGTATCAGCAGTAAGAAAAGGGTGTTTCCCAAGTGATTACAGGGAATGTTTAAGTAACAGCATAGGAAGTCAACAGACTATTTGGGACATTTCATAATGAATGGCTGCTCAGTAAGTGTTAATAAATTGTGTAAAAGTGTCAGCACTTTTTATAAAAAGTCTTAACATGAGAAGAGACAGTGTATATAAGCCATGTAATTGTGGAAACTTATTGTTACTTCTGTCCCCATCAAAGGACAAGAGTAGCCTTTCTTTAACCTCTGTACTGCAATTCAGTAGGAAGTTGTACTGCACACAGTAAGGATGCATAAAAGGGTAGATTTTCATGAAGATTTTTAATGTAAATATTTACTTGGGTTGAGGGGACATGCTTTATTTTGCACCATGGATTATAGTTTAAAAACAACAACAACAAAAAAAAAACTGCTGCCACCAACTTTCTTGGTAAAACTAAAAACCTCCAATTCTAAAACAGAAACCTAAGGTCACATAAGGTTAGGAGTGTAAATTCATCCTGCTGACCTAGACTTTCATGGCTTTCTCTGCTCAAATTCTGCCCTCCTTCCTTCCAGCCCACTGACCTATCTCTTCATGGTAAATAGGCTCCTGTTATATTTCCCAGACAAAACTACTCACCATCATCAGAGGCAGGGGGACAGATCAAAGCCTTCTCGCTGATTCAGATAGTGTCTGAAGATGAGGCCAGTTGGGGAAAAAGTACATGCTCCTTTTTTCCTAAAATCTGAATCTTTCTACTTTATCACATTGTATTTTAACATTGTCTTATATAGCCATAAAATTTAATAAAAGGTAATGAGCCAGGAGTGGTGGCACACACCTTGAGTTCAAGGCCAGAATGGGCTATGCAGTGAATTTAAGGTCAGCCTAAACTACATAGTGAGACCTTATCTCAAAAAACCAAAAGTAGTCATATCCCAAACTTATATGAAAATGGTTATGTTTGCAGATTGATATAAAAACCTATTTGATATCATCACAAAATGATCTTTATAATTAGAATAAAAATTCAGCAGTGAATTGCTTAGTGATGTGGGTTATGATTTATTTCTATAAGCACATATTTTGTTCCTGCTATATTAATCAGAGTTCTTTGTTGGAAAGTTTATTTTCACTTAATATTTTAACATTTTAATTGCAGTTAGACAAAAATGAGATTTTTTTTAATATACTGTAACCCTCTGGCATACTTTACTTTTAAAATCTATGAACTGTGTTGGACAATATTCTAATCTAGTGTATTAAATTTCAAAGTTTAAGAGTTAGCAAAACTTTGCATCATAAATTCACTTTAGAATGACAGGAAATATATACAACTTAAGAGTCTGTTCTTAGACAAATGCCTTTTCCTTAAAATAAAAGCTTTGGGAAGTGCAGTATAAAAGTTTTAGATATGAAGGCACTGCATAATCTGTATCACAGGGCTGTCTTGTTAACAAGGGTCAAATGGAAATATTCTGCCCTGAATTTAATGGGCATAAGAAACTTTTTCAAAGAAATACCTAGCTTCCATCACAGAAAAATAATGGTTAAAAAAAAATAACCATTTGGTGCATTTAGCTAATGCAGTCCTTTCCAAGACTGCTGTTCAGAAACTGGTACTGGAAAAGCTCTAGGAGGTGCCCGCCACACGATGCTTGGCTTACTCTTTACGAGTTTAAGAGGGGTGGTGCAGAGGACTACAGGTGGGCAGTAGACTTCTGGTCACTTATGTACTGTGACAAAGCCTCTCCCAGTCCAGTTTTTATAGACGTACTGCCATCAGCAGAGGATCTGTCATAAGAACTTTCTAAGTTTACAGTATTTTTATGAATCTGCTGAACAGATTTGAGCCACTAGTCTCCTGTTCTTAAATTGAGGGAGTTCGCATCTGTTCTTCATACATTGAAATCACTGGACAGTACTGATTAACAACCCACGTGCTCTGATACCCTAAACTATTATAAAAACCATAGCCAGAAGATCTTAGGAACATAGTCATGTTCGTTATAATTGTAGAAGTGCTGTCCACTATTGCATGAACAGTAATAGTAGCCACAAGATGCTTTGTTTTCGGGTGGCCTGCAACCACCGAGTCCTAAAGTTCTTGGTAGCATATAGCTGGCTGCAAATTCCCTTTTCAAGGGCATGCTTTCATTATAAATGCAAACCTTCCCCTGAAATTAAAACTACACTTTAGGTTTTCATAGGAAGAAGCATTTTAGTAGAAGTGAATTTTGTTCTTTCAAAGGCCAGTAAAACAGTGGTCCAAAGATTATTGTCTAGGAGGCTAAGACAGCTTTACAATCTAGTCAAAAGATTCATATTTTTTATAAGTGCTTTAATTACATATAAAGGAGAAGAAAATAATATATATATGCTTTAATCAGGTTAGTTCCAGAACAAATAAAATAACGCATTAGAGAAAAAATTACTTAAAAATAGTTGTATTTATATTCCACAATTTGCTCAATACTGGTTTTCTTACAAACTTTCTACAGGATGAAATTCTTCACATTGTGTCTTGACTATGTACTTATGGAATTTCAGGGAAATAGTTCTGTCTGTGTAATAGCTTAATCTGTACTAACGGGATGGCAGCTGGTCAATCACATGCAGTCCATGTGGGATTCTAACATGACGTTCAGCGAGTTTTCTGATGTTGACCACCCCTTTGACGCTGAAGGTAGGGCATCTGTTGACAGAAGTGACTGTAGATTCGGATTACTGCTCTCTGCATCTTCCAGTTTTTCTGTGTTATCTTCCCAGTTAATGTGGAATCTTGTGACCCTGGGATTAGATGCCAAAATGTTCCTTTGAAGCTAGAGGAAAGAAATGTATAAATGATAAACATTAGGAGAGTTAGATTGCTATATGCGAATAGAAGTGTGACAAAAAGGTTCTTGATGTTAGTCCTCCTAAAGGGATAAATTCACAAAGTACAAGTCAAATAAAGCACTCTGAAGTATAACCAATCACTAAGGAATAGCAAAGAAATCATTTCAGCAAAATGGAAACCTAGGGCCAGGAATTTAGCTCAGTGGTTCTGCTGCCTGCCTGGCAAGTTCAAGGACCCAAGTTTGATCCCTGGTACTCCCCTGTCCAAAAGGAAACCAGAGAATCTGAGGGAATTTATCCAGATATTTCACAATCCAGCACCTCTCTACTTTTTCTTAAATGGGAAATAAAGTTTTTTTTTTTGTCTTATAGATGTTTCAGAGGATGTTTTAATTAAACAGTGTTCAAGGAAAATGAACCTTTTCCCCAAGTACAATTTCTCATGATTAGAGGCTTCCTACCTTTCAAATACTAGGGTTTATTCTTAGAAACAATATTCTAGTTCTCTTTTCTGCTACCTAAGGTGCTACACGTGAAAGTAATAAACTGGACCAAAACAAGGCCCTGCACACAGGGTGGAAAGCATTCCTGCCCGATGATCTCAAAAGAGACCTTTCTGTTCTGCTGCCATGAATTTTCCTGCGTGGTCTGGCAGACAGAATACCACATTCAACCTCATTTACTTTGCACCCTTACAAAATTGGGCTCAAATGGAAAATCATCAGGTACAAAATATCTTTGAGATCAGTGCATCAGATTTTTGCTTCTCAGAATTTAACCTGTTTACCATCATTATTTCTAAGACCTTTAGTTTAACCTCTAAGAACAGCAGATAGAACAGAGCATGTAAGGATACAAGCATAGCAGCGTTCATGAGAAACAAGCAAAACTCCCAACAATTTTAGGAAGAGTAGACAAAAGTACTGACGAATCCATCCAGCAGACAGGAGCTTGCTGTCTAAAGGCTACAAGGGCTGGGGATTTAGCTCAGTGGTTCCGCCGCCTGCCTCACAAGTGCAAGGACCCAAGTTAGATCCCCAGTACCCCCAAAAAAGTAGTATAAAGGCTGCGATGCAGTGAGTCCTGATGGGTAGGAAATGCTGCCAAGGGCCACACAGAGGCCTCTAAGGACAGGAGGCGCTTGCACCTGCCTAAAACAGCAGGATGCAGGGTATCTGTCCCGCATTGACTTCTACCGACTCACACAGATGCAGGGCTGGAGGTCGTCCATGCCACAGAACCAGGATCAACCTGCCCAGGTGGCACAAGGACTTCAAATTTGTTTCAGAGCTATTTACACAGTGTCCTGTAAAACAGCCACTGCCTAAACACCCTACAGTATAAGTCATTAAAAAAGAATAGTAAGAATATTACCTTAGAAAAGTCTGGTTTTACTGGCGGATTTTCCCTTAATTCTGTCTCCGTATATTCATTATTTACATAATAGCCAACTCTAATAAATTCTTGACCTCGGTAGGTGCAAGTAATTAGCACAACGGTGACACCGACTGCATCTGCATCTGGAATGAGTCCCGGGTTGGGTGCGTCGGCCTAGGACGAGTAACACACAGACAGGCGATTAGTGGCGGCCAGGTGGCCCTGCAGTGCAGGGCTGTGCGGCACAAGACGTGCGAGTAGCGCCGGGAAGGGAGCTTGCCTCTCCGAGAACGGCTGTCACGTCTCCGCATTCTGAGCTGCTCGGCACTGGGGCATTACTGCACTTCAGAGGGCAGGCAAGAGGCTGTGCTACTTGTTAAAAACCTTTTATAAAATGTTTAAGCAGTCAGCAGTCTTACTGATTCTTCCTCTTACTGATTCTTCACTTAAATCCAGAAATCTCCAATCATCTGCACACAGCCCATTTGTGGACAGCCAATGTTTATTACACTGTTTTCCCTCTCCTCCCCAGGACACATACGTTCGCATCCATCCATCCATACGTCACTCACATATATTGGAGATGAGTATAAAAGTGAAAACAGGAGAGTAAATAGCTATGCACCAGAGCTGCACGTTGCAAAGAATTGGAAAACGCAGGACGGGCAGTGCGGGTGAAGGCTGGCTGCCAGCCTGGGGCAGCCGTTACTGTGTCCACCGGGACACTGCTTGTCTTGGCCCACTGAGCACCAGCCAAAGGCTTAGCTGGGGAGCGTTTCTGATAAGGTGGGGATGGCACAGGACGTCTACTCAGGCATTAAGCTGAAAATGTCACCCCAGCTTCCTGACCTCCCGCATCTCATCATTCTAAACATCTCGTTTCTGATGGCTAAATTCTTGTTTTCTCTCTGGAGTATTGCTGAAACTTTCTAACAAGTCTTCTAGCCCTAGCCTATCGTTTGCACTGCTACCAGCATTAGCATCCAAATAGATGTTTCTGTTCTCTTGCCTGTTTTTAAAACCTCAGATGATTATTCCTATTTCTAAGGAATACAAAACCTAAGTTCTTAACTTCACTCAGAAAGCCCTTCACAATTCATCTCCATCCACACCTCCTGTAACTCCATGCCTCTTTCCTCTTCCAGACATGAGTATGCTGATAATCTTCACATCTCTGTGCCTTGAACCTAGTGCTCTCTCTCGGCCTGAAAGGTCCTTCCCTTACATCCTGAAAAATTCGTTTGAAATCTGCATCAAGTGTACCTCCTCAGCAAAGCCCATTTTAACTCAGGAGGTAGAATCAACAGCTTCCTGTTTTGTCTTTGCTACTTGACACACATCCTCTACTAGTGCATGCCCAACATCCTACGTGTGTTTACTCCTCAGGCTTCCCTGCCAGACCCATACACTTTGTCCAAGGCAAGAGTTCCATTCAGTTTTATCATGTGATTTTTGATGTAGCTATGAGCATTTAGGATTTTGAAATTCACTTCTACTCAGTTCCTGTCCTGAAGGGCTTTATGATCTCTTTGGAGAGAAGAGGGTGGATTCAGAGAACTTCTAGATGATATGCTGTTTGCCTCAAGAGACCCTGCATACCCCCTTCCAAGGGATTAGGTCACACCTAGGACACCCATAGGATTCTTATGGACCTGAGAGTAGACAGATGGGAAACATTCAGCTCCCTAGTGCACGGAGCTCCCCTCACGTTGACTCCCCCACTCAGCAAACAGGATACAACTGGAATAGATTCAAGTAGAGAAACCTGCAGGTCTTGTATGATAATGTAGCACAAAGAAGTAATGGGCAAACACCTCTGACTTAAAAGAACCTTGCTAGGCAGGGTTGGATATCTTCCTGATGGCCTCTGACCCACTTTTGAGAAAGGCATGTTTATTCTGAGGTGAAACGGCAGACCAAGAGAATATTAGGGCAGTTTGTTTAAAACACCAAAGGCCACCAGTGCCAAACTTACGGCACGTGCAGCAGTGGGCTGTTTGCATCATTGAAGCTCTAAAAGGTTTGCCATCACAGCCTTAGGCGCTGTTGATATTGGTGAATTCTGCAAAATGCATAGGCTAAACATGGGACCTAAATCATGCTGCACTTTTTGTTCTTTCTGGCAATTTATCACTGGAAGGCAGTATTTGTTCATCAGTTTTTCTCCCAACTGCACTGTAAGACAAAAGCTTAGGATAGTGTTCTCAACATCAGAAAGAGAGAAGGTGCTCAAGGGTTTATTTCAAACTCAAAGCATTTATTAGTAAGTTTTTACAGTAGCATACTAGCAGGGTTATATGAGACTGGAAAATGTTAGACATCTGGCCCACAGAAGACCCCAGAGTTTGCCACCATGTGTACCTCGATACAACCTAGGGCTGGCTGTACACTGCACATATAGAGAACACAGCGCTAACATCTCTCAGCACACTCAATCAAAAATGTCACTTCTTTTAGACAGACTGAAACACAACAAATGCAGGTCAGAGTGGAAGAGTTTAGGCAAGAGGCGTTTAACATAGAAGGAAATGGATAAGACTCATGAGATGGTAAATGCAGTCTTTAGAAACCTACTTGATGGGAAGGATTTAGCTCAGTGGCACCAAGCCTAAGTGCAAGGTCCTGAGTTCCATTCCCTGTTACCAAGAAAGAAACCTATTTGGCATACACACAGATCAAGACCAGTCTTACCTGAAATACAAACATATGCCTTCCTGCAGGAACAGGACCCACCAAAACAGAGTCTAGAACTTGATCATATTCTTCACTTTCCGCAGAACCCACATAGATAATTTTCCACTCCAAGTCTAGAGTTAAAGGACAAAACATTATTTCAGATCAGTAATTATAGGACCAGATGACAATCAAAAAGCTTGCTGATGTACACTTTAATCATTCACTGGCTGCTCATAGCAGAACATCAGAAAGGCACTGAAGTGCTTCCTATAATATTCTTTATGAGAGTTGAAATGCTATCAGCACTGTCCTGAGGACTCCCTTCCCTGAGTGTGCTGAGACATTCTTCAGTAAAGGTCCTGGGAACACCCATCAACTTCCCTGTAGTATTTCTTTGGCTGTGGAACCCCTCACTCCTGTGTATGGCATCTTTAACAACTCAGCATGTGCTGGAAGGGCTGCTCTGAGATCCAGATCAGCACAGAGGAGCAGAAAAATCATCATTAGCAGACCTTCCTAGTGCTCAGAAGTCAGGGGCTTCAGCTCATCGGACAGACAAGTGCTGGGACATCGTCGCTTCTTAGAGCTGAGACTACAGACCAAAGGCACTTGCTGACAGTTCTGAGCACGGAGGCAGGTCACTACGCGCAGTGGGGCTTCTCCTTGTAGGAGAGCCAAGATCCTTACATCCCTGACACATGTACATGGAGATGGCGACCAGTGGGGGGCGACAATCTTGTGAAGCCTCGAGCTTTGCACGTGATTGAATCCAGCGGACTTTATAAGGCACCTTTCATGGCATTTTCCAAGGAGCAGAGATGAGTAAAACTGCCGTTCTTTGAAAGAGCCTCCTCTTTAGTAGGGCTGGAAGACAAACTACAAACACTAATCCTCTCCAGACTTCCTTATCCCCTGAGGGGAAATGGCTCGGGCTTGGCCAGCCAGGCTCCCAAAAGCCTGAGTTTTGGGATCTTGGGGCCTGGAGAATGTAGAGAAATAGCACAGGTTCTACAGTACTTCTCCTTCACCCAGATTATTAACTGCAATTCACTGGACTCAAAGTTAGGTTTCCACTTCTTCGAAGAGTCAGTAGTGACTCCCTGCCGTGTCATGGCTCTATCTTAGACCAAGACCACTTCTATTTCCAGCTCTCAGCACATTTCCAGATGCAAGTTCCTGCCTCTGATGCCTCACAAGATCTCCTGTCTGTTGACAGAGCTGGGGAAGCAGGCCTTTTGAGTATCTAGTCTGCAAGTGCAGATGCGGTCAATGAGGTAGGAGCAGGATCAAGCAAAGGTGCGGTGGGGGGTGTGTGTGTGTGACTGGAGCAGAAAGAGAAGAGGGGGAGGTAGCGTCAAGGACCAGCACTCAAACGGAGTGCGCCACGGCTGTGCGGGGGGGCGAACCGCAGGTTTTCCTGCACGCCAGGCCAGCACTCTACTAGGGAGGCCCAGCCCCAGCCTTATCAGAGTCTGAGCAGTGGAATGGCAGGGATGCAGCCTTTGGTGCAGAGGAACGTTCCAGCTGTGGTGCTCTGTAGACTGCAGGAAGCCAGGGGAACACGAGGGTATCTCAGCAGTGGAGGTACGAAGTTATGTTGGACTGGGCCAGGATCGTGTGTGGACATAAATTCTGTGCAACAGCAGCCGCTGTTTTTTTGCAGGGGCTGAGGTGAGGAGGCAGATCATCGGGAACTGCCTTAAGCATGTCTGAGGTGTCTGCTAGATGTGTAGTGGAGATGCTGAGCAGCTCTTGTGACATGCGGAACTGGCAGTGACACATGCAAAGCCACGACAACATGGGATTCTTAGGGAGTGAGGCCAGTAGGCCAGGGAGCTTGTGGCCAAGGTGGTAGGTGACCCAAAGCCAGGTAGGAAAGGGCTGGGAAAGCCGTAAATGAGCCAAGGGAGAATACAACAACTGTCACCGAGGCTTTCATAAAATGTTCACTTTGTATGTATTTGTGGCATGTTTATAATGCTCTCAGACTCCTACCTGGTATAAACCAAGTTGGCATTTGTGGTTAGACACAGGAACGTCGCTACACTTACAAGTGCTGGGCCTTGGTCCAGCTGCTCTACACTGTTGTTTATCCTCAGCAGCTCTACCCTATGTGTGATTGTGCAACACAGCATTTATTGTATGTTGTAAATAATATGCAGACAAGAAAGTTCACACTCGAGAGGTTAAGCTACCCAAACCACACAGCAACCAAGCTATGCTGCCACAACTCCAAAGCCTAAAACTAAGAAATCTCTCCTAACTCAAATCAGCAGTGGGATACGGGTACTCAGTCCCCAAGGAGGGAGTCATGGAGACCAGAGGGAACGAGGCAGTTCTACCTTGATGAGGAAGCTCTGTGACCCAAGAACACCTGCGCGTTGCTTTTATCCTGTGAGATGTGTAGCAGCTACTGAGTTTTAAATGGTCAGTACTGTTTCATAATTATTTTCATCTGTTTTATTGTATTTATTCTGGTGGCACTGAGGACTGAATCTAGGACCTTCCCACTGAGCAGTATCTCCTGCCCCTTTAGTTTGTTATTTTGAGACAGGGTCTTGGTCTTAAGTGGCTAACTTGCTCAGGCTGGGGTCAAACTTGCAATTCTCCTGCCTCAGCTTCCCAGAGAACTGAGTTTACAAGCATGTCCCAACATGCCTATTTTATTTTTTTTAACCTAGGCTTCATTCCCTAATCCCTTATCTTCCAGTGAGGAAAGGAGAAGGTCAGATGCTTCGCACAGGTTACCACTGAAGATGTTAATTCATTTATTTCAAAAGTTAACTAATTCTTTCATTTAATTATGGTTGTCCCAGCCTTGAAAGTGCAGTCTCTCCATTTGTGGTGGGGTACCTGAGGAAAGCCAGCAGGGCGACCTGAAGTGAATTACACTCTTGGGAAGACCTGTAGGCTAGTGGACAGCAGCCTTTGGAATCAGAATAGAATAAACCTGAAGTTTCTAAGTATAACGCACTATGTATCACTCTGTCGCGCTGTGAACGCTCAACTATCTGTAGGTGTAATTACGATGCATCTCACTGCGCGTAGGGACGACAGAAGTGACTTCTGTAGGACTGGGGACCAAGCACAGAAAAGCCTGCTTAGATTTCGACCTCCCCTTGGTAAACCTGTTCTCCATCATGGATTAGAAAGAACCCAATTATCTGAAGAGGGAATGCTACTTACAGCTTTTTCTACAGGCAGCTTTTACGGAAAGTGAAAGTATGTGGGGACTACTGGCAAAAAGTATGAAAGTGACTGAACTGTGGTTTGGGGCTTGAGACAAAATAATTTATGAAAATTCTCCTGAATATTCTATAATTTAATTTCAGGAATAGATTTTTTTTTTTTTTTTAAAGAACTACATACAATACAAAAGAATGAAACCTACCCGGGCCCCACGCTAGGTAAATTTGATTTCCTTAATCCACACAGCCTCTAGGTGGAGTACACAGGCACGGCACCTTTTCGCAAGGTTCCTTTGCAGCTTTGAAATGACTCAGCTTAAAATCTTTTCAGAAGTACTAACTAAATGCCCGGTGATGGTGTGGGGCGTGAGGTGTCCAGTGGAAGTTGGTGTGCTCTTGCCATCCTGGAGGCTGGCCGGCTGGCTTCCACCAATGGCGGTGCGAGAAGAGCCAATGGAAAGGCTCTGCAACGTCCCAGCCGGTGCTCGGTCCTCCGGCTGGAGTCGCTCCTAAAATGGAGGCGGTGAGATGCAGACCAACCCGGAGGACCTGCGGGCCGGCTGCTCGGGCCTCTCCACCTGCGCGCCGCACCGCCCTGGAGCTCTGGGAGACAACTGGTTTCAGGGTAGTAAGCGAAGCGCCTTTTGTTTTATCCTCAGTGGCGTATTTGGGAAGTCCTGCGTTCTAGTACGTCAGTCTTGCTTCCAAGTGTACACACGGGATCTATGCTCTACAAGCACCGGGACGCACTGAGGTGGTGACTGCTTGGCCGAAGGGACAGGGCAGTCCTAAGTGCACGGGACTGTTACTTTTCACGTTCGTGCAACTTTCAAAAAAGTTTCCTGCAATGAGCATATGTTGGCTTTATATTTAAAGTCAATATAAAATATTTTAGAAGTGAAAAGCTAAGTTTTAAAATGAAAAAACTGCTTTTCGTGCCGTGGTTACCCTAATAGTCTCAGATGAATTTTGTCAGTAGACTTGTAAGTTCAAAAATGCTGCCCGGGTCAGCTGGAAATTAAGTGAGGAAGTTAAACTTTTCCTTTTCACATTTTGAAAATGAAGCGCTCAAGTCCTTCGGCAAGACTAAGAAAGCGGCCCCGTCCGATGCGGAGCGCCGGGCGTCCTGCAGCCGCAG